AAGTGTTGTCAGAGGAGACAGTATCTTAAAATGTTTTACAGAACGTATTGGAATTGAGAAAATAGTTGTCATAAATTAAGACGTTTCATCATCTTAAGTGTGCGAGTTTAGTAGACAAGAGAGGTTCAATTAAATCGATGATTATTTGCAGTCGCTCTTGTCGTAGCCAGTAGCAGACTGAGCGGTCGTCATAATTGCAGTGCCGATAGCGGTCGTATAATCAATATAGCCACACAACCAGCTAACAACACTGCCAGCATGCCAATCGCAAAAATGTTCTCCCAAGGATTTCTCGCCCCCACTCCTCGCCCCCTCCCCTTCCTCGTCTTCTTCTCGTTCCTCTTCCTCCACGTAGCTCCGCATCGATTTAATAATAGAAATGCAGCTTCTTCCTGGTGCTCGAGGGTTTTATAAGAGCGCGCATCTACGAATTTTATGACGAGACACAATGGCGCACGCGGAACGATAATATATAGAATACACGGGAGAAGGGAATTAATTTACTGCCGTAACCGTAAACATAATTAATTTTAAACGACACGCTGCTTCTATAGAAGAACTGCTTATCAAAAGTTCTGATTATCAATTTTAAGAAACGACACGCATCTTTAGAGATGAACTTCTAATTAATACTTTTCATTTTTTACGAGGAGGTATTCGAGCGATTTGAGAATATTTATACACATGTTTAGGAAGTTGCGCGGCTATCGATTGACCTTGCTCCCAAATTTTCAGACCATCCACAGTAAGAGCTGATTATTTTTAACTGAAGTATTCTGGGTTTCTGTCCCCTCCATCGATTGCCTCCCCTTCCCTCGCGGTTCCCCTCTCATTAAATTAAGACTGTCTTTATATTAAACTTCGCGGACGTCGAATCGCTCGTACGCCTTCTTCAATGTGACATTGATACAGATTTTCCAATAGAACGATATCCGCAATCGTCAATCCTATTCTACTACTTTCTTTATATAATTTGCGACGGCTGTTGGCTCGAATAAATTTCACAAGTCCGGAACAGTGCTCGTTTCAATAATTTCTAGAATTCATTTTTCTAATACACTTTTCTGCAGGGAGCAAGCTATTCTCGAAATTATGTAATTTACGTAGCTTCTTCGCTCCGGGAAAAGAGACGATAAATGTATTCAGCGATTCGAGAATAACTGGCTGGCGAGGAGGAATGAAATGAAATGAAATGATGAGAGAGATGCAAGACAGCATGATTTTTATTCGTCATTACAAATACAATGAGCAGCGATAGAGAACGATGAAATAGACGTGGGTACCGATGTGGACGTTGCACAAACCTGGCAGCGGCAATCAATAAACTCGTAACATAATTAAGCTCGTGAAGAATTTCATTTTAATGATGTAATACATAGTCACAGAAAGAGTCGTTTAGAAAATGCAGAGATGATTCCATCTGTACGATCGCCAGGGCGTTATGTTTCTCTTATAATTACATGTCGCCAATTTTATTAACAATTCGCCCAAACACACGGATAATTCTGTGATCGTGAAGAAGCACGGCTGGCGAAATATACGCGCGATTTATCACGGTAACAAATGCCCTCGTTCGAACGTTTGCCTTGCATAATCCGACAGCTGGAACTTGTCAGGTGTGTAAGGATCGGAAAGCGGTGGAACGCGACGGATACAAATATCGCGTGTCCGGTGCAAAAGTGAAGATGAGATAAAAAGTCGAATCTGAGTTTCTTTCGATTACCGGCTCTAAGATGCGCGAGTATCGCTGGTGATGCTGTAACGCGTAGATTGCCTAGAGTTCTCGTAAGTGCCTCGATCAGATTCTTCCCGCGAGCAACGCGTCGGAGATTTATCGCGGAACAAGCGCCACTGCGGCCCGAACAGGTTCTCCGTGCGTGCGTACGCTTGTACCGTGCGTGATTCACGGTATTGTGTCGCACGGGTGCGACTGTACAGCAAAATCTACGAGCTCGACAATACCTATTGTACGAGTCGATGTAAAAAAAAATCGTTGCAGGCGAGAAGAGATCGTCTACTAGTTGCATACCTTTCATATTTCTACGTTTTAAACTGGGGCGAATTTCAGATCGAAAAGTACCTAACAAAGCTTCTGGTGCCTAATTAAACCCTGAAACGCTCGACTCGTTAAAGATGCGAATTACAGCCACAGACAAATGGGAATAGACCGAGCGTCCAAATAGGAATACATTGAACGCTCGGTCTATTCTCTTAAATCTATGATTACAGCTGTAAATGTAACGTGATCGAATTTTACACGCTCTCGTTTCTAAATGTATTTTTACACGCTTATTACATAATTACTCGATATTTCCTTTTTCGCATTTGTGAATTGCCAGTTTGTTCAGACAGGCAATTAGAAACTAGATTACAGTCTCTCTAGCCTTTGGGCATATAAATGCATGTTCACCCGTGTTTTTGTCAGAGATCAGCATACGCCGTCAGTTTTATCATTTGACGTCTGTGCAAGTTTCGTTAGATAACAGTGAACAGGATATATTTCGATGCTACCAGCTAAATACGTGTACATGCGTACCACGCGTCGAAGGTGTTTCCGAGGTTTCTTTTACCGGATGCTCCAAATTCTACATTTAGATCATAAATTTCGCAATCTTATTCTAGAATCTAATTTTAACCGGCTGGCACGATGTGCGTCGTTAAGTCGGACAATTTTAATCCTCGGCTACACCACTTGATTACTTCTGTCCTTATGTGATATTTTATATGCTCGTTTCGATCAGCGGCGATTAAGATTCGATTCGAGAACAGTAGTGATCTCGATTAAAGACAAGGATTTTCATTTATTAAAATTAGACGATGTGAAAATTTATTTTAAATACAGATTGACGATACACTGAATCATCGCGTGGACCAATATTAAAATATGCTATTTGCTTATACGAAATCTTATCGTCCTCTAATCCGAAGAGGATCGACATTATCAGTGAACGAGGTATTATCGAAATAAAATATTGACACTGGCGATAAAACTCGATGAATCAACGAGGCACAATATACTCGAATGATTCACGGGAATTGATTTTTTCTCAACGCCGGTTGCAGATTTCACAGATTTAGAAACTCTTCAATTCGAGCGGATTTCATCGAAGCGTAATGCGATATTAGAACGGTAAACGATACGTACACGCCTCGCGACGTAACGCAATCCCGTGTTCCTTGTATCCAATTGTTCCCGGCTTCGCGAGCGTGACATTGGAACTGCGTAACGTTTTCAATAACGCTGAGGCTCCAGCGTTGAATCTTTCCACTGGGATGACACAGAAACGAGGGTACAGACGCGAATTCTTTTGAATACACGCGATCCTTACCCTCGTTGTTCATCGCGTTACGTCCAAGTTACAAGCGTCTCCCTTTTCTCTTCCCAAGAATTTGTCGCTTTCAGAGTCATTAGCTAATACAATTAGTGCAATGGGTGTTTAACATCTGAGGAGACGAAAGCCGTAATGGTGTAAGCCATTCGAATTACGAATGCTAATAGATTTACAGACAACGTGAAGCAGGTCCTGGCTCATCTCCCCTGCGAACTGATAACAGCGTAACGTAGACAATTTAACAAGACGGTACACCTTTGCCATTCCGAAAAGTGTCTTACACCATTAGAACTTTTACCTCTTCGTCATAATACATCGTAATAGACACGAATTTAGAAACTGCGCTCAACTCTTTGAGTAAAGAATTAACGTGCAACAGGGAATACTCGAAGGGTTGAACGCAGTTACGATTTCTAATTGAAATTATCGTTCCGGTGGAGAGGAACGTAGATCAGACTCGTAATGTGCATGTAGTATTTATACTTTGTTTGATCGATCGGAATCGTACTGCCGAAAAGCAGCAGCACGCGGTCAGTTTCTCCGTTGGCGGCGACAGGAGAGATGTCGTACCAGATAGTGCATTTACAGTATTCAGGGCCCGTGTAAACGCGCATCTGGCACGAGCCCCAACTGCCCTGTAATCTCATATTGGCTCGCTTCCGTTTAGCTCTCGC